AGTGTTCTCAGGTTGAAATTCACTAAGTAGGAGTCTTGACTTCAGGATGGACCTTGCCATACATTTTTCTAGCTGTTAGCATACAGAAATACCATTAGGCCAAACTGCAGCCTTGGGTCTAATACCTATTAAGAAAAAAGCTAGTACACTGAAACTCTGGAAACAGCCAATTAATGTGCTAATCTGCTCTAACTACATACACTTAGAGGGAAAAACTGATCCTTTAAACCTCTTCTTAATGCAGGCTTTTATTTAAATGTACCATATTTTCTAGACTATAGGACATAATGCAATTTGACAAATATAATATTTTCATTAGCATAAATGCCCATTTGTTAGTCTTTTATTCAGTACTGCATGACTGTTTATCTGCAATAAATACAGTGAAATCTTTCACTTTAATAATCAACACACTTCCAAACAAAAGCACAGTTGTTGTGCCAAACTGCAGACAAATTGAACCAGGAGACAGGCAACTGTGAGTTGGGATAACTGAGAAGCACTTGAGAATCTTGACTTCCTGAGTGGTAATTACAATTTGGAGAGCTATTCAAATGGATTTTTTCTCCTTGGAGGTCGGAAACTTCTGAATGCGTCATTAGTCTGTAAGTCCTTCTCCGTAATACTTTTACCTAAACAACATTTACAGCTTAAAACAGCAATTTTTAATGTCTGACATAGAACCTATTGCTACTCTGAAACAAAATTCAGCTGCTGTTTAATTTTTCATACACAATTAGGTCTATGTGAAGCAGAGAGAAAAATACGTACAACATACACAGAGTAGCCCACTTTGGAGTATATATAGAATATATACTGAACACTACTGAACAGGATAAAAACTAAGCTAGAGTAGACCTCTATTTGTTTCTAAGACTCAGTACAAACATTAACCATACCAGCATTGTTTAACATACTGTATATGTAACAAAAATATTGTAATACAGTAACTATAAGTTACTAAAGAGTAGTAAACAATAATTAACTAAACAAGTCAATATTTGATGTGACAACCCACCAGTGGTTTATGTTTTTTGTGTGAAACATGGTCTGTTATGTAATATGTTGCTTTCTTTACTGACATACAAACATTTTTTCTGTAACATTTAACTATGCCTTGGAAAAATAATGTTGGGAAATATAAAATGTTTTTGTACTGACTCTGGATTTGGAAACGTTGACATATAAAGAGACATGATTGTGTTTTTTGTTAGGATTTTGTTAGGATTTATTATATTTATACTTTATTGTATTTATTATTGTATTTAATTCCCATGTAAGTGAAAAGGTTTTATGTCAAGTTTTTAGCCACATATTTCTTTCCCTGTATTTTTTTAAGTGAAGTGTTTCCAAATAAATATTTAAAGGATCTAATTTGATAGCTTTTTGAAGAAATGCTGGACGAGGTTTCAGTATCAGCTGATACTTAAGTTTTCAGAATCGGTATTGTTATTAGAAAGAGTTAATGAGTCATCTTTATAAATATGTAATTGAATAAAAGGAGATTCGAATCTTACAGTTTAAAATACATAATAAATTATTCTGAGCATATAATATATTGTATTCCAACATAATCAATAATTTAACATGGCCCCAATATAAACAGACCTGAATATTTTATGCTATTGCAATATTATAATATTTATACGCTTAAAAAATAATATACTAGCATATTTATCTTTAAGTGGACATGCTAGTATTTCAAAAGTATACTGTAAGTACAGTTAACACTTATTGCACTTCTTTTCAATGCAGGAGGCATTAGCACACATGTAAATAACCTTTTTGTAAGAGTATTGATTTCTACACATATCTTACACTCAGGAGGAATTATTGCCCAGAAATTACAATGTCTAATTACAGATCATATTTGTACTCTATTATACAGTGTTAAATGTGAAATGGTGTACGTCAAGCATCACCTGGGTGAGTAAATGTCATTTTTAGATTTGTGATACTGTAATAACAAAGACTGTGCTGCACGATATGAATGAGATGAAGAATTAGTGTGACGTCTTTGAGAGTAGAACCGATAGCACAAGATTAGAGAGCACATGAGGCGCACCCGGAAGCGGATCCTGCGGTGATATCCGATGAAAGTGTCCGATCTTGTGCACCTGCAAACAACACTGCAGCAGCATGTTCGACAGCAGAAAAGAATTACATGCTCCCCACAATCAAATTCAGTTTATGAAAATCTGACTGTTGCCTCAGAAGGCAGCTGTAGTGGAACAATACAAACACCACAGTGTGACCAAGCATCTCAGTCCTCACCAAAAGATGTCTGATTGCATGCCCAATCAATGCTAATCCCAACCATGGATTTCTCAATCTGTCTGTTTTTCGAGACCTAATATTCTCATGCAGTGCCTGATTTTTCTGTGCTCTTAGAAAACAAAGTCCAGCATACACAAGAAGCAGGAAAAAAGTAGCATTCTTACCTGGTTCGGTAACACCTATAAAAAAAAAGAGAGAAGAAGAAAATTCACAGAGTCAGGAACGTGTCACCTTCTTCTTTCCACAAAGCAGGGAAATATCAGGTGTTAATTCAGACATGTTCACATCTTTAGATTACTTTCACACACTTGCCAAATTCCCAGACAGAAATGGCATCGCAATTTGTGACAGAAGGAGGTCATTAATGCCGTTCTGTGAAGCCTAAATCTTTTTTATGATGCAAAATAGGGTAGCGTTCACCTTCATGAGGTTTGTGAAGAATTAGCGGTATCAGCTTTAGTGTAAATTCAGTCGTTGTGGATTATGAGTCTGATTACAACCTGATAAAGTGCCTATAAGTTAGGACAGCTCTATTACTCCACGCTGAAATCTTGTCTGTCCTTGTTTGGTTGGTTGTTCTTTCATTCATTCGTTCATTTGTCTTTGTTGCTTCATTCATTCCTTTGTTTGTCTTTGTCTGTCTGTCTTTGTTTGATTGGTTGTTCCTTCATTCGTTTGTTCATTTGTCTTTCATTGTTTGTTGCTTTGTTTGTTCTATGTTCGTCTGTCTTAGTTTGTTTGTTTGTTTCTTCATTCATCTGTCTATCTCAGTTAGTTTGTCTCTTAGTTTGTTTGTATGTTTGTTTCTTCATTTGTTCCTTCAATCATCTGAATTTTGTTATTGTATTTTTTAAACAATGAATTTCAACCAATCATTTTTCAATTTCAACTAATTGATTAATTGAAAAAAAATAAATTTTTCTCTGTCGAATAATAGAGAACTATAAAGCTCATCTGGCAAACATTTCAGCACATTAAGCTCTTCAGTGATGCACAGGAGTATGGAATACGCGAGGCCAATTACAGGAAGTCGCATTATATAAAGCAGCCTTGATTGTGTGTCAAAGCTCAGAATGAGGGAGAAGAGAAAAAAGGATATTGAATTGTAAAACCCCATCTGATAAAATTGCAGCAGCAAACGTCTTTAAAAAAAGCCATTTCTGCTGTTCCTATTTCCTTTTTCAAAAATAGAGCAAAAAAATCAGTTTTCTGAAGATAGTTATTAAATAAAGACCATCTTTAGTCTCTTACTACCTTTATTTACTACTTTTAGTTGGTTTAGAGAAAAAAAAATCAATATATGCTGCGTTTCATTACTTTACTCACATCAATGTGCCTGGGATTATTTTTTACCTTTTTTTTGTTTATATTATAATTGTTTATTTTTGTATTGACTCTAAAACTGCACTTCAGCAACACTGCTATGTGCCAAGACTTCACTGGTTCCTGAGCAAAGGCATTTTGCTCTTTTATGTTATTTGTGGGTTTTTAATATAAAACAAAGGATATTACTATAAAACAGGGAATGTCCGCTCGATGGTCAATCTGTAGGCAATGAATAAAGGCGGGTGCCGAGACTACTTGACAAAAAAAAGTGAAGCAGAGGGTAAGGAAATGCAGGCAGACAGTAAAGAAATCAGACTAAATATACCTTTTTAGTCTGAAATATTTCCAATGAGATGAAGCCAAATCTACAGTCAACTACAGAAGACTACACTGGTAAAATCTTTTTTTTGTTTTGTTTTATTTTGCTTTAATGGACCATTAACAATTTAAAACTGTTTTTTAATCCCACACCCACCCACTCCTGAAGGAATTCCTCCTGTAGTTATTTTTGTTGTCCTTTGAAGCTAAATAAAATTAAAATACATCTTTACAATGTGGCAGAGTGAATTCCTTCATGACCAGCACTGTGTTAGCTTTCAGAGCCATGGGATGCAGACCAGTTTCAGTCCCATTCAGCTAGTTTAGAGTCAGTTCAACAGCACATGCCAGCTCAAGTCCAGAGCTACACATGGCGGAAAAACCTCCCAGAAACTGCTGTAGATATGGCATCCTCCATCCATCATTAAGCTACAAGGAGCTTCCACTCCTCCATTTCAGCTGAGGTGCCAGCTCATCCTTAAGTAGTACTTTCTTAAATAATTTGATACAGAGATTAATTATATTGAACATTTATTGCACAGGTCTATTTAATTTCGTCATTAACAGTGTACTAAGGGGTCCCTGTAGGAGTAGTGGTCAGGCCACGGCTCTCTCACTGCTGCGAACTGGGTTCGATTCCCAGCCAGGGAACTGACCCCAGCCACTGGGGTTGTGTGCAACAGTGCGCTCTCAGTGCCGGTCCCAAGCCCGGATAAAAATTCGGGAGGGATGTGTCAGGAATTGCATTCCGACGTAAAAACTGTGCCAAATCAAATATACGAATCAATGATCCACTGTGGCGACCCCTAATGGGAGCAGCCAAAAGAGGAATAACAACATTAACAGTGTATCCTAAAAAACATTGAAGTTGCAATCAACTTTTGATTTAACTATGGAAAATATGACTAGTCAACAACTTTTATGAATTATTGGTAGACTAGTAAAAACTAATATTTGCCCAACCCCTAACATGAAGATCAACCAAGTTTTCATGTTTATATATTACATACAGTCAGGTCCATAAATATTTGGATATTGTTATTTTAGCTGTCTACCACAGTATATAGGAGTTGAAACAGAATAATGAATATGGGCTCAAAGTGCAGACTTTCAGCTTCAATTTGAGGGTATTTGTATCCAAATTGGATGCCAATACCTTCAAATTATTATTTCACTTACAAGTAAGCAGAGAAAACGTCTAGAGTTGATTTCAAGTGTTCAAGAGCTGTCACTGTCAGTGAAGCAAGCTATTAACAGGCTGAAAAATCAAAACAAACCCATCAGAGAGATAACAAAAACATTAGGTGTGGCCAAATCAACACCAAACGACCTGGAGGAGCACAGAAAACAACTGTGGTAGATGACAGAAGAATTCTTTCCCTGGTGAAAAAAATTCCCTTCATAACAGTTGGCCAGATCAACACTAAGATCAGCACCCCAAGGAGGTAGGCATATCTATGTCAAAGTCAACAATCAAGAGAAGTTTTCACCAGAGAAAATACAGAAGGTTTACCACAATGTGAACCATTGGTAAGCCTCAAAAACAGGAAGACCAGATTAGTGTTTGCCAAACACATCTAAAAAGCCCATACAGTCTGGGACAGCATCCTATGGACAGATAAGACAAAGATCAGCTTGTACCAGGATGATTGGAAGAGAAGAGTTTGAGAGAAGGAACTGCTCATGATCTGAAGCATACCACCTCATATCATGGTATGGTCATATATGGCTGCCAATGCAACTGGTTCCTTTGTATTTATTGATGACGTAACTGCTGACAAAAGCAGCAGGATGAATTCTGAAGTGTATAGAGCTATATTATCTGCTCAAATTCAGCCAAATGCTTCAAAACCCATTGCACAGAACTTCACAGTTCAGAGCGACAATGACCTGAGGTGTACTTCAAAAGCAAACCAAGAATATTTAAAGACAAAGAAGTGGAATGTTCTGCGACGGACAAGTCAATTACTTGACCTGAATCCAATTGAGAAATGGCTTTCACTTGCTGAAGGCAAAATGCCCCACGAACAACCAGCAACCAAAGGCAGCTGCATTAAATCCCTGGTAGAGCATCACCAAGGAATTATTTTCCTACTAATAATGGCTTGCTTCACAGGCAGTGACGGCACTTTGCACTTACTATAGAAAGTTAACTGTAACATATTCCAAATGCAAATGCAACAATTGAAATGAATGCTAGACCTTCTATCTGCTTACTTGTAAGTGAAATACTGAGCGATTAACAAGCACCTGGCCAAGGAACAGCTGAGCAGTCAACTGTCCAATTAGTTTTGGTCCCATAAAAAAGGGGAAGGTGTTGCAATATGAACCATACTGTAATTCTTACACTGTTCACCTGATTGGGATGTAAATGCCCTCAAAGTAAAGCTGAAAGCTAAACTAAAAATAATGTTATATTAATATGCCAAAGAAATCAGCTAAAGCAGTTGTCTTGGCATCTGTGTTGGAGTTAGGGTGGAATCTTACGCAATTTGCTCCCTTTTCACTTTTTCGGGATATGATTGAGCTATAGTTGTGGTTGAGATGCATGCAAAAAAGAAATATATTTCAGACAAAATTTCACTATGTGAAACGCTTTCCCAGGCCACCACACACTTCTAAATATTTGTTTTGATGAAGTGAGCATTAATTAGACTTATAACTAGAGGTAGACTAGAGATAACTAGAGGGTGTCAGTGGTATGCATCACTGGAGCTCATAAGCCTGGTGTTGAGAGAAAGCAGGACCTGGAAGAAACCCTGTTTAAACTCCAGGACTGATTGGTGAGCTGTAAAGGTGTTTGTAACATAATTGTATATATGACCAATCTGTTGGTTTGGCTTTTTCCTTTGGTCAAGGCACTTAACTTTTAGTGCCTCAACAGGAGCTGCTTCACTGCTCCTAGTCATGGTACTTTTAGGGAGCACAGGATTCTCCTCAACTAAAATGAATAACTGGACTGCTCCCTTGCAAGCAGAGAAAGCTTGCTATATGTTTCTGATGTTTTATTGTTCCACTAACCCTTCTTATCAACACCAGCAGCTGCTCCCTCAGCACTGTAAACGACGAGCAAACGGAGTTTGCAGTTTTAATTGGATCTCACCATAATGATCAGTTGGTTGACCTACATTAATGTACAGTTAACCATACTGAAAGCAAAAACAGTTTCAGGACATTGCTATTGTTAGGTTGTGCCATTTGTGCAGCAAAGAACGCACCAAACAGCCATATACAGGCTACAAATTACATTTACAGCTTCACTACTTTATAGGCTACAGTGTTATCAACAAAAGTAAATAAACTGGAAACTGAAACTGAGAATGTGCAGTGTGGAAGCTCTAGCCTAATGATGGATGGAGGATGCAACATCTACAGCAGCACCTGGGAGGTTTGTCTGCCATGTTCAACTCCACACTCAGTAGCATCTGAAAACATCTCTGGATCAGCCTTTTTAAGCTGGCATGTCCCACTGATCTGACTCTAAACTAGCTCAGTGGGATTGGATAGTGATGTGCAACCCACGGCTCCGAAATCGCTCTTTCACACAGCTCTGGTCATGTCCGAATTCACTCTGCCACATTGTAAGGATTTTATTTCATTTTATTTAGCTCTAAAGGACAACAAAAATAACTGCAGGAGGAATTCCTTCAGGAGCAAGCAGTAGTGTGATTAAACTCACATGCATTACTCACAGTTCCAAACTGCCTCTGGAAGCAGCATCATTACAAAAACTATGATTCAGAAGCTTCACAAAATGGGCTTCCATGGCCGAGCTGCTGCACACAAACCTGAGATCACTATGCGCATTGCCAAGCACTGGCTGGAGTGCTGTAAAGTGCTGCCACTGGACTCTGAAGTAGTGAAAATGTGTTTTCTGGAGTGATGAATCACATTTCACTACTTGGCAGTCTGGTGAATCTGGATTTGGCATATGCCAGGAGAACACTACCTACCGGAATTGCTAGTGCCAACAGCAAAGTTTGGTAGAGGAGAGATAATGGTCTGGGGCTGTTTGCCAGAGTTTGGGCCCCTTAGTTCCAGTGAAGGGTAATGTTAATGCTACAGCATACAAAGATATTTTAGAGAGTTGTATTCTTCCAACAGTTTGGAGAAGGCCGTTTCCTGTTTCAGCATGACTGTGTCCTCTGTGCACAAAGAAATGTCCATTAAGACATAGTTTGTCTCCAGTGGCCTGCACAGACAGACCTTCTCATCAATGCCTGACCTCACAAATGATCTTTTAACTGAATGGGCACAAATTCCCACAGACAGACTCCAAAATCTTGTAAAAAGCCTTCCCAGAAAAGTGGAGGCTGTTACAGCCTCCATATTAATGCCCATGGTTTTGAAATGGGATTTCAACAAACTCATAAAGGTGTGATGGTCAGGTGTCCACATACTTTTGGCCATATAGAGTCCACCATCAGACTGCCAGATAATAATACGTGATTCAACACTCCAGAGAACACGTTTCCACTGCTCCATAGTCCAGTGGCAGCGCTTCACACTACTCCAGCGCTTCACACTACTCCAGCCGACACTTAGCATTGTGCATAGTGATCCTAGGCTTGTGCTTGGCCAAGGAAACCAATTACATGAAGCTCCTGACACACAGTTCTTGTGCTGGTGTTGCTTTCAAAGACTGAAACTCTGTAGTGAGTAATGCAACAGAGGATAGGTGACTTTTATGTGCTACACACTTCAGCACTCGGTGGCCACGCTCTGTGAGTTTGCGTGGTCTGCTGCTTCCTGGTTGAGCTGTTGTTGTTCCTAGACACTTCCATAATAGCACTTACAGTTGACTGGGGCAGATCTAGCAGAGCAGACATCTCACAAACTGACTTAGGAAGCATCTTATGACAGTGCCATGTTTAAAGTTTCTGAGCTCTTCAGTAAGGCCCATTCTACTGCCGATGTTTGTCTATGGAAACTGCATGGCTATGTGCTTGATTTTATGCAACTGTTAGCAATGGGTGTGGTGAAACACCTGAACACAATAATTAGGAGAGGTGTCTACATACTTTTGGCCATATAGTGTATTTTCAGACTAACAAAGTACATTTAGCCTGCTTTCTTTCCCATTTTTCCACCACCCTGACAAGTCAAAATCTCCCCTAGGTCATGCAACCCCTACGCTATGCACAAGCTAACATTAAGCAAATCAATTAGGACATACTGATTAGAATAACATGGAAGACAAATTAAACACTGCAATAGAATAATGTTTGTGTTTGTTGGTGGCTTTCAATTAATTCACATAGCTAGCTATATTGTTCTTGCATCCAGCATCAAATACATGTTCATGAGATCAGATTGGAGTAGCTAGCTAGCTAACCCAATCACTAGATATGGCACCAATCTGAAACCCAAAATCGGTATCTAGCTGATTCCAGCCAAAAAAAAAAAAATTGTGAATTGGATATCAGAGTAAAAAGAATTGATTTAATATGACCATGTAAAAAAATGGAAAAGATTGGATTTGGAAAAGTTTTTTTTTTTTTTTTACATATTAAGTTCTTTTACATATAAAATTTTTTACATACATAAATTTTAATGCCTAGTAGTTTCTGAAGAAAAAAATATCGGATGTATATTGATATCGCCTGACACTTAGGGTTTCAGTATCTGTATCATATATCAGAAAAGCAAAC